AAAGGTAAATGTATTGATTGTATGTGATTTTTTGTATTATTTTTGTTATTAAAGAAATTGTATGCCTTATTTTCCGAATTTTGATATCTCATTCAGAACATTTACAAAGTGTTAAAAGAAAAATATAAATTCTAAGATAATACATTTAATCATATTTAGGTTTTTGATCAAAACCTTGAAAAACTTTCATCAATGGTCCCATTGAGAGTTCTATTGATTAACTGTTTCAGGTGCTAAGAGTGAGAGAACGTTTTCCATATTGAAAAGTAATTAGGAATCATCTGCAATCAAGTGTCAATCAGGAAAAATTTGATGCTTTTTTTGTCATTTACTTCAATAGAAAATAATGTTGGGCTATCGATTAATAATCGGAACTGCATAATAGAATAATCGTAAAAGTCCAATGAACCGTTTTTATATTATTTTAGTTCTTACCACACTACAGCAAACCACTAAGAGGGTTATGTGTTTGAGTTCGACCAGTTCCTTGCATGAACTCAGTTTGGTAGTGAAACCTTGTACTGTGTAAAAGAGTCGTGTAAAGTCATGGGTCAATTTATTCGAGTAAAGCTTACGTACAAGAACATTCTATGCTGTGTATACCACCGTTTCTATTGTTACTGTTTGTGTTAGCTGAGTGAAAATGTCTGTATGGATGGTCACATGAGCGAGTTTTAAAGTTGAAAGAACTTATAAAGAGTGTTTTATACCATTAAGTTTCTCGGCCAAAGCTTTAAAATAATTCAATGTAGTTTGCTTAGCCTTAATCCGAAATGTTAAAAAATACATTATTCAAGTTTCACTTCTCATTGATATTGAGTTGTTAGGAAAACAATGTAGTATTTTGAGTTTTCTTTTAAATACCCCTCTATATTACAAGCTGTTTATGTTTCTGGATTATTCATTTGTATGAACTTCAACACTTATTAATCCTCTTCCAAATGATAATGCTTGTTTACCTCTGAATCATTTAGCTGCTTAGAAATAATTCAGTCTTTACTAAAATGTCAACTCGTGATTTTTGTATAATTTTGTTTTAAGAGTTTAAACTCGGCAGGACCCATTCTGGCTCCCTGCCCAGACATCCAGAAACATCAATCAAGTCTGGGCTGAGATCAGCATTAATGAGTGTGGACTGTTCAACGGTGGTTCAAAAGCCTTGAAGTGTGAAAGAAGGTCGTGGAAGGACTTCCTCTCTTGATGACTATGTTTTACGGGCTTTGGTGGAGAAGAAAACCCCAGGACAACTGTTTGAGAACTAGCAGAAAAACTTAACCATAGCAAATCTACCATTAATGATCACCTCAAGTGTATTGGAAAGGTGAGAAAGCTTGAAGGTTGGGTACCCCACACATTAAAGGACTGCCAACAAAAGTAGCGTCATGAAGTTTGTGCTACACTTCTTTACCTAAACAAAAACGACTCTTTTCTATCCAGAATTGTTACATGTGATGAAAAGTGGATACTTTACGATGACAGTAGACGTTCTGGACAGTGGCTCGACAAAAGATAAGCAGCAAAACATTTTCCAAAGCCTCCAACGCTTCAAAAAAAAGGTTTATTGATTAATGAACTTCATTTGGTTTGATACATTGTATCTTCTTAAATCCAGGAGAAACTATCAATGCCGAATCGTATTGTAACCACAATAATGCAATGCATCAGAAATTGGCACTAATAAGCCATCATTGATCAATCGGAAGGGTCCCATTTTATTGCATGATTACGCCCGGCCACATGTCTCACACTTGATGTCCCAAAAAATGAAACTCTGCCATATCTGCCCTACACTACGGGCCTCTTGCCTACGAATTATCATTTTTTTTGACACCTGAACCACTACTTACATGACAATATATTAAATGAACAAAGGAAATTAGAAAATGTGTTTGGAGTTAATCAATTCTAAAGATAGGAAATTGTATTCCGAGGGAATGGAAGAGTTGCCTATACGTTGGCAGAAATGTATTGATTTTGATTAAATAAAACAGTTGTAAATCTTTCTTTTTTAAACCAAAATCCTGCATCATTTTTCGGATAACCCAATAGGTATGGAGAAATGTGGAATGGAGAAAATACCTTTACTGTATAATAAAATAATATGACAGGTAAATTTTTTATCACTACAAAAATGTTTATTGTCTTAATTATTGTTATCCATGGTTAAGAATCTGATTAGGAGATCGGAATCCTTCAAGTTATATTCATATCAATATTTTTACTATTATAATTGGTAAGATTTTTCTTCTTTTGGTTAAGATGCGAGGTAAAGTAATAGAAAGCTTTTTAGACTCTTCTAATCTACTCCTACTCAACACTGGAGAACCTACCTTTCTTAGCTCAAGTTATGGCACTTACTCTATTCTTAATCTGTCATTTTGTGGTTCCTCGTCTTTTATCATTACTAACTGAACGATTTTGCCCAATTTATATAGTAGTGACTATTTTCCAATACTCATAAATTCAAAATAACGAATCCCATTAGAGAAAAACTGAAATTTGTCCTAACTAGAACTGACTGAACTTATTATTCTCTTTATTAGCCTCACCACCTCAAACTCCTCCCCATATTAAATGAATGTCGATAAAGGCTGTCAAACCATCACGAATACGATCTTAGAAGCAGCTAAAGTATCAATACCAATGACCTCCGGCTCACCCAGAAGACTGCTTGTTGCCTGGTTTAACGATGTTTGCAAGGAAGCCATTAAAAGTCCCCATAAAGCCTACAAAAAATTCCAGAAATATATGACCACTCAAAATTTAATATAATATAAAAGACAGCGTGCTATGTAGTATGTAGTATATGTAGAAAAATAATCAATCAGTGTAAACAAAAAATGTGATTTGATATCCTGTCGCATAAAAGTGCCCATATTTTTAGCAAAAATGCCTACTGTACATTATTGCAAAGCATTAATTGTTTCCATGACCTAGGATATATTATAATAAACATAATTTTACTAATCACTTTTTATTTATAAAATAAAAAATTATGTTAAAATATTTTTATGTTTTTAATATGATTTTTTAAATATTCATCATCTAGAGTGATTAAAACTGTGAACACATTTTTGTGTTATTGTTTCTAACATCCAAGCATCATAAATTAAACCACATACCTCGATCCGTAATATTACTAAGACTGTTGAGAATCATGTGTTAGTTCATACTGATTTATATATTAAATTTGAAATTGAAGTTGCACATCTGAAATTTTTTTTTTTTTGACCGACTCACCTTGTAAATATACAGGATTTGATGTATAATTTCTTGTTAATAGTGAATGTTTTTATTGCTGTTAGAGGAAAAAAAAAATGTTGATTTTATTTTTCATGAAAATGACATTAATCATCCCCTCAGTTCTATGTATTTCACCCTTGTGTCTCATTTTCATTTTGTATTTTATTTTTAATATTGATTTTGTTTAAGCTTGTTAGCATGCGGTGCATTTTAGCATATCATTCTTAGAGATTGTAGCATTTTTGATTTGTTATTCATATAAGCTTCTTTTTGCTGTTCAGTTCGTTGTGTATATCTTGATTAAATAAATCACATTGCCTGGTTGTTACATATTGTTTATATTGATCTCAATCTTATTTTTTTTTAAATATAATTTTCTTAACATTGACAATTTTGTCAGTGTTTATAAATAATCTATCTGGACCTTAATCATTCTCATTATACTTCATCTTGTCTATATTCTATTCCTCAGGTCGAGAAACTTTGATCTAACGGGTATAGACGCTCAAAGGATGTGTTTATATCAGTGTATGACAAGATTTATTGTTTGTTTTTCAAATAAAAATTGGAATAATTGAATTTTCTTTTATCGAGCTTGCTTAAAAGGAAAAAGTTTGTACTATTTTCGAATTTCCATTCGCTTTTCTTCTTTTATCTGAATGAGCTATTGGTTTGTAACAGTTTAAACAATTTTCCAACTGCACAGAGTTAAGCTAAAAAGAAAATCAGTGTGAAATTCGTTTCAAATTTTCATTCACTTTTGTATCTTATTCCGTGTACGGATGATCGGTTTTTCATGGTTCAAAACCGATTTTCTAATTGTTTAGAGGTAGATAGAAAAGGAAAAATTCATTTCAATTAATTTTCTATTTTGAATAATTGATCAGATTTTCACAGTTAAAAGCATCTGACTATTTAGAGGAAGACTAAATAAATAAAAAATAGCATGAAAACTTTCCAAATTTTCATTCACTTTTTCTCTTTTATCTCGTGAAGGAGTGATCAGTTTTGCATGGCTTAAACTAGTTTCCGTGTATTTAGAGGTAGGCTAAAATGGAAAAGAATATACATATTTCCCAAGACCCCTTAAGATATTTTTTTTATAGGGATTAAATTCAAGAATGGTTTCCACTTAGTTTCGTTAATATTAGTAAGTAACTACTTAGTTAAATAAAAAAAAGTGTTTTAGTCAGAAAACAAAAATTAAGATTTTTTATCAGAAATTTTAGGACCCTGGTGATATTATTCTTGTCTTGATTTACTTAATAATATATTTTGTAATATTTGATTCAATCTATTGTATCATATTTTTCATTGCATGTTTTATAAGAATGTTACTTTCGCGCTTCTATTATGGCTCTCTTTTAGCTGTTTCATATATTAAATAATGTAACATTATTAAATTTAGTTTCATATTGTATATTCTAATGAGATATGCACATATTTTTAAGTCTCAGTTTGATAGCTTTTATATTAAATAATTCTGTTTTATATATATATATATATATATATTATATATATATATATATATATATATATATATATATATATATATATATATATAGATATTTGTTTATGAGCCATCTGATGTAGGTTGTATATATTTCGACAAGAAAATCAAATCTTTTGCCTTTCCCATGACAAAGAAACTTTTTCTTTAGTTATCAATAGGCGAAAGTATATGAACGACATTTTTTTTTTTTAACATATCTTTATGGGATTTTTTTTTACATCATGTTAAATTTTGTCTTTTGAAGGACACTGAATTTCCTGGAGTGGTGGCAAGGCCTATTGGTGAGTTCCGAAGTTCAGCTGACTATCAGTATCAGCTTCTAAGGTGCAATGTGGATCTTCTCCGTATCATTCAATTGGGACTTACTTTCTTGGATGAAAATGGAAAAGCTCCAGCTGGTCCTTACAGTACCTGGCAGTTCAATTTTAAATTTAATCTCTCGTAAGTGATATAATATATTATTGTGATAGTATTATTGTATTTTATTTTGTTTTTCCTTCCAAAGTAACCCTTTAAAAGGACCGTTTACTATTGTACGTTCCATCTAAATTTATATTATTTACCTTAAATATAACATTTTATCAAATAACATTAATGTTAACTAATTAGAAACACAATTCAATTTAAACATAATAGTTAATATAAGCTTAACTAAAATAAACATAAATAAGAAAAAGATACAAAAATCAGTGAACATAGTTAATTAAAATCGCATAAGTTATAAAGTAGGTAAATATAATTGTATATTTTCTTTATAAATTAATATATTATACAAAATTATGGGTGACCTTATCAATATATGCTTACCATTTACTCAGATTTTTGTTAGTTGGTCATATTCTAGACTATTAATAAGTTTTGTGAGTCGAAAGTTATTGTACAAGTCAAATTCTGATATTGGCCAATGGAAATTTTTCTAAACGTTAGAGAAGTTCCAGAAAAAGGTTTTGGGTGACACTTTAATAAACTAACTGGTCAAAGTTTTGATGTATGTACTAAAAATTAACTTTCTTATAGTGATGTGTGTGCTACTAGCTGGTATAGATTTAAAAAAAATAATAATAAAACCTTAAACATTAAGCTGTCATTTTTCATATCAGGTTAATTTGGAGCTATAAGTTTTTATTTTCAATTGCTATGAAAATTTGTATTTAGGGTTTTTCGAGATGCGAAATATTAATCTCAACTTTGTTTTTCTTTTAAAGAAATGTTAGAATCCACTTTACTCTTTATGTCAGTGCTAATTGTTTCAATATTGTACTCATGCTATAGCTGTGTGCCAAACATATTTTTTCTAAACCTGACTGGTATCGAAAATAAGTTTACTTGCTCAAAATCTGATATTTTGTTGAGATTCAGTCCGAAAATAAGAATAAGGCAGGTATTGTACATATTATACTATAAAATTCATTTTCTTTTTTTTTTTTTTTTTTTTTTATGACCAACAAGCATTTGCAAGAACCTTCGGACATGGTGCTAATATTTTTTGATCTATTATGACCAAAAAAAAGTTTCATTGAAATCGGTGATCTCACATCTTTAACTTCCCCTGGTTTCAATTTATAAGTATTTCTATATTTAACCATTCTTAGTAGTAAATTAGAACTATCTATCATATGAACCATATTTGATGTTTATGAAAGATGAACCATAATGTTTTTTTCAATATTCTTTTCTTTTATTTCGGTGTCACATAATATTTCAGTTTCTAATTTTTTTATATAAGCCAACATTACACCGATGTTTTTACTTCCAAATCCTGCTACGACATTTCGGCTCGTCGAACCATTTTCAATTCTATCATGTACCTGTCCCATTATATTTCGGAAATGGTTCTAATATTTTTCGATCTAGTTTGACCAAAAAAGGTTTCATTGAAATCGGCGACCTCACGTCTTTAACCTCCCCATGTAAGATAGGTTTCAATTTATTAGTATTTTTATGTATAACCATTATTGATAATAAATTAGAACTATCTATCATATGAACCATATTTGATGTTTATAAAAGATGAACCACAATGGTTTTTTTTTTCTTTTCAGGGAAGATATGTATGCTCAGGACAGTATTGATCTTCTTCAAAATTCTGGAATACAATTTAAGAAACATGAAGAAGATGGTATCGACCCTGTTGATTTTGCAGAACTTCTCATGACCTCAGGGATCGTCCTGATGGAGAATATAAAGTGGTTATCCTTTCATAGGTATCTGATGTTTTATATTAATGTTTATTTATTAGTTTCATATTAATGGACTGACCAGGTTTTTGATATTATTTCATTAAAAAATAATATCTTAAATCTATGTAATAAAAAGCTAGTGTGGCTGCAAGCACAAGTAGGTATTCATAATTATTTTTATGATTACTTTAAACTAATGGAAGCAAGTTCATTACCAAAACTTTTTATTAATGAGAAATTATTGTGTAAATTCTTGACATATTCACCAAAAAAAATAAATGTAACAAAACTTCATTACATTTTACTGTTTCTTGAAAATCTCTGCAAGCAATGAGACTAAGCAATATTTTATTGGTTATTGGATATATTAAAAGTTACATAATATATATTGAGGTTAACAACAATTATAGTGTTTAAAAATAATACAGAAATAATCTTACCCATCCTAAGGGAATGTGTTTTTATATCTGTGAATATTTAAAATTGGTTTTAGATATTGATGTACACTAATAAATAGGACAAAATCTGATTTCCAAGAGCTGTAATGTGTAATAAAAGGCACTTGGTACACCAATTTTAAATATCTGTAGACATTTTTTAAGTGAAAACTTGTTTAGCCACGTTTTACACTTTTTTATGGAGAGTGAATTAGATTGAGCCATCAGATTTCCGATGTGTAACGCTCAAGTCGACTAATTGAAGTTTTTTAGCATGTGGATTAAATTATCTGAAAAACTAAAAAATCGGACCTGCATACTGTAAGCGAGGGAGCTGTTCAAGCATTTCATCTTCTCTGTAATGGGCTAAATTATTCAAAATGGTATCTTCGCGTAATGCCATGTTAAGGAGGCGAAAAGAAGAAAACCGTGTCCAAAACCAAATTATGACAAGTTTTATTGAAGATATGGATTAAAATATCTCAAAAACTAAAAATTGGACCTGCATACTGTAAGCAATAGAAATGTTCAGCGTTTCATCCTCTCTGTAATAAGCAATTATTCAAAATAAAATCCAAATGAGAATGAATTTCATACTAAATATTGTCTTATCAAATATGGCGAATCATACTAAAAAAAATGAGAATATATGATCATCACATATTTTAGCTATCATAAACAAGGTTTCATTTTGAGATACTATACGATACTGACTTAGTATGATCAGAAGGTTTACTATAGGGTCAAAGTTTACTATTGTAATTTAAATACAATTATAATTGTATATGTTGTGAATGTTATTACTTCATGAATATAGAGCAAAAAAAATATTTGCATTTCATATTACTAAGTCCACATTTTTGATGTTTTCACTTCTGTCATGTGGTCTTAAGCACACACCGTTTTTTTTTTTTTTTTTTTTTTTTTATAACTCTAATATTTTATTTGCACCTGTAAAATATTACAATCAGCAAATGAGATAATATAAAACATACATGGCTTGGGTAGGTATAAGAGAGATAGCTCCCAGCGATGCATACTCCTGGGTAGACATAAATTTCGGTAACATATTTCATGGTGTTTATGTAGATGAATGAATGAATGAAAATTTATTTATTGACTAAATAAGATGCAAAATATAGCTTAGATATTACATTTTAAAATACATAGACAATAGAAAATTCTATCTTTCGAGGTCTTTACATTATTTCCTCAAAATATGATTCATTTTATATCCTAAATACATTGATTGAGAAGTACAATTTTTTTTTCACTCTCTCAATTCTTTGAATGAAACTTGTAAACATTATTGTTAAACATGCATACTATAAAAAAATAATATAACAACAACAAATGCATTCTATATATAACAAATAAGCAAGGTGTTCTGCTAATTATTTATATACTGACTGGTTGGGCTCTTTGTGATGTGGCTTGCTTTATATAATTGTAATATTTAGGGTTTTCCTGTTGGTACCTTTCATAGACTATATTAAATATTATGAGGAGTTGATCGGGAGGTGCGGTCAAATTAATACTAAATTAAATAAGTAGAATTATTTAATTTTGCCGACGTTTCGACCCACTTTGCAGGTCTTCATCAGGGCTACAAAAGATACAAAACATGGTAAAATTAAATGAATATAAGTAGATATAAAATAAGAATAAGTTGTCTGATAAAGAAAGAAATTGAAAGATTAAAAGGATAATCTCAATTTCTTTACTTCTTAACCTTTAGTCCCGCTATCGATTTACTTACAGTTATCAAATGTAACCACCACTATCTTGTTATTCACTGATATCTTATTATTATGTTATCTTATTATTATTTTAGCTTTACTTTATCAATACTTATTCAATTTACAATCTATTTATTCGTTAACATTCATTTTCTTTATATGTTAACCTACATTTATCAAATGCAATCTTTATTAGTTTGTTATACACTCATTCCTTATCTTTTATCGCAATCTATTTACCTTTAACTTACATGCTATATTCTCCTTTAATTTCTATTTTTATATATACTTATTTTCCATTTTTGTTTGTATCCTCTACATATAGTACTTGATATTTTAACTACATTGTCACCCGCTATATCTCTGATATCATCTTTTTATTTCTGTATCAGACAACTTATTCTTATTTTATGTCTACTTATATCCATTTAATTTTACCATGTTTTGTATCTTTTGTAGCCCTGATGAAGAACTGCAAAGTGGGTCGAATCGTCGGCAAAAATTAAATAATTCTAGTTATTTAATTTAGTATTAATTTGACTGCACCCCGCGATCAACTCCTTCTCATATTATATTAATGGTCAACCATCTCTACATCATTATATTAAATATTATTCAAGATTTTATATTGAATTCCATAATAAATATTATCATATTAAGTATGGCGAATCATATTAAAAGAATGAGAATATACGATCATCACATATTTTAGCTATCATAAACAAGGTTTTATTTTTAAATATTATATGATACTGACTTAGTATGGATCAGTCAAACTGGTTGGGCTCTTTGCAATGTGACTTGCTTTATGTAATCGTAATATTTAGGGGTTTTCCTCTTGTCACCTTTCATAAACTAATTATTTCCTTAAGAGAACAGATTAGTCAAGCAAAAACTTTTTCCCTGATCTCACTATAGATATGACAAGTACCCCAAAAAGTAAATGGTGTCCTCTTTTTCTCCCTGAAGTCACATACTGGGCAGTTATCGTTTATGTATCCACCGCTTAGTGCTTAAAAGTGTTTATGTAGATATGAAAGTATATTCTCTTAGGATGGATAAGGTTGTTTCTGTATTTATTTTTTTAATTAAATTATTTTAACATTTTTTACTAACTCATTAGCTGCTGTTAACGGTCCCCGGGTTCCGATATTCGTCTCGACTGCCAAGGGACCAGGATTGTTTTGGATTTTGCCTATCTTACGAAATCTCTAAAATGGTCATTTTTTTGAATGGGAGTTGGATGGATGTAAAGATCCAAACGTAAGTAATCATTATATCTGATATAAAGGTGTAAGACACCAGGGACCGATAAAGTATCAGACTGATAAAAAATTATTTTCCGTAGTTATGATATAACTTTGATTTTTTATATTCTGCTTTTATCTTGACATTAAAAAATTATTGCACAAATAATGTATAAATTATATCATGAAAATTATAATTATATGTAATAAATTAACTTTTTATCATTACATTTTGAATATTTAAGATTTATTACCCTAAAAATAACAATTATTTTACTGAAATAAAGAGAAATAATAAAAAACTTGTCATATAAACAGCATCGGACGTCAGAGTCCACTCCTATGATTGCTGGCCATTAATGAGGACATAATCAACATATAGACACTGAATAGGAAATTTAGTTCACCTTTGTTGTCAGAAGATAGTATATAGCTCGAAACTGATGTATGTCTACAACGTCTGATGCCGTTGGGAACTTTATTACTAGTGTCGGTCGCTTGGGACCGATATTGTCGGGAAAGACATTTAAGGGATCATCATACTCCACAGCTAATGTGTTAAAGTAGTGATTGTATTCAACACATATGATCACAAACTTAATATGATATCCAACAAAATTGAAAATATGTAATATATAATAAACATTTTTTAGCTTATATAGTTTCAAAACATTCACAAAATCTCAAGAAGTTATTTGAACTAACAAACTTGAAAATCTTTCCTGCTGCTTGTTCTAAAAATTATTACATACCTCTCAACATACAGATCAAACATTAAGTACAGTTTAACTAAGGATATGTTTGAAATCTGTTAGTTGTATTACTATTTAGAAAACATTTTTATATAAATACATTTAACTGGATTTATTTTGGATTATATTTTAAAAATATTTGTGTTGTTTTTTTCAGTGGCTATGATTTTGGATACCTATTGAAACTGCTTACGAATCAGAACTTACCCAATGATGAAAGCGAATTCTTTGAGCTTCTGAAAATCTACTTCCCTACTGTTTATGATGTTAAAGTTAGTACACCCAAGAGTTAACTTAATAATAAATTCTAACCCTTTTTGATTTTGTAAAGATTTAACATTTCTTTGAATCGAATGAATTTTGAGAGGCCATTTCAGTATTTGCTTTCAGTTCTTGCTTGAATTACAAAATTTAAATTTTCTTTAACCTTGCATGAATCCAGTTTCTTATTTCTTTTTTTTTTTTTTTTTTTTTCCATTTTTCATTTTCCCCATATAAAGTTGTTTGGTTTGTATCGAATCATTATTTCATATATTGAATTTGTAAAATCTTCTTTCAATATATTTTTGTTTTTGCTATAATATTTTTAGTTTTTTTACAGATTTTGTTTTTGCTATAATATTTTTAGTTTTTTTACAGATTTTGTTTTTGTATTTTTTTATTCTAATTTTTTTTTTTAAAATCAATACTTCAATATTACTAGCTATTCTTAAGGTCTAGGCAGACAGAAGTTGATCTATCGGAATGATGAAGGGAATCTGCATTATAATGTTGGGTAGTGTTGTGGTCTTGCCACAAAGAATAAGTCGCAAAGAGATTTATTTTTATTTTATTCAGTTTATTCGTGACTGTACTTGTGAGTAGACTGAGGCTTTCTCCGATTGGTCTAAGAAAACTAAGTTAGCTTTACATTACTCAAAATAGGAAAAACTTAGATTTAATTTTAAAACTTTTTGGTTTGTTCCAATTTAATGTTTTTTTGTTTAAATTAATCTCATTTGAAAGTTAGCAGTGAAAAAAATATTAGTATCAATGTGCAAGGGGAGGCTACAGTCAGTCATCAGTAACAATTTAACAGAGATATGACAAAATTACATTTTTGACTAATATTGTCTATTATAATATATTTCTCCTATCTAGGATAAAGAGGAGTATAATTACTAAATTATTTAATATGAAGTTCTTTTTTCTGTCACCATTGCCAGTTGCTTTAGGGAAATGAACATTGTTATTTTTTTTTTCAAGCTCATGGATTTAATATTAATTTCAGAACGACAAATGATCTTATGTATAACATATCTTTATTATTATTATTATTGAACCCACTTGGAGCATTTTGTCACCTCAGCGACAATTTTTTTGTATCCGAAAATTTCTATCTTGATAGAAAGAACTTGAAATACTATTATAGTATTATTTTTTGGCAAAATGCACTACAGCCAAGAAGGCCTATTGTCCGTCTAAATTAGTGTCGCTCTTAATCAGAGCATTATTCCAGCAATCGTTATAAACTGAAGTAGGTTTGTCGAATTGATGTGATTTTCTTTAAAGAGCTCTTGCTCAAGTTGATTAGCAGATTGCTTCTCTTTGCACAGATCCCATCCAAGTACAGCCTTGAATGAGTCTGTTTTTTCAAACACCAATATTTCTTAGCTTCAGCACTCTCCGATTCTATTTTTAATTAAACACATGCCAATACCGCAGATAGGTTCGGGTGTTATGAGGGTTGTATGTGAGCGATTTCTGGCTAATTCGTCTGTCATCTCATTTTGATGAAAACCAGAGTGTTCTGTTACCCATTCAATGATCACCTTATTAAACCTAGATAAATTGTTGAGAATTGTACAGCAGTCCTTAACAGCCTTAGATCTAGTTATATAGTTGCCCAGCAGTTGTATTGCTTCACTAATCCACCAGACAGAAACTTTGAAGTTAGATATCGCTAGTATTTCATATTGGAATACCATTGCATATTTACCAAGTGATATAGTCATGCCCTCTTATAATTCGCCCTTTCTCCAAAATTCTGCACCAGAGCCGCAAGTCATTAATGAGCCATCAGTGTAACAATTGATTCCATTTATTAGTAGAGTAATAATAATTGATTAGCTAATTATTAATTAATAATTTATTAGTAGAGTAAGTACTTAATTATTTGTATGCAAAAATCATATTGATTATTTTGCCTTGATATAATTAATATTTTTGATTCTCAAATTAAAAACAAAAAAAATTAAAAATTGTCACAGTTACCTTGAACCTACGGAATAAAATATTATTAATGTTTTTTTAGGGCTGTTTTATCTAAACAGGAAGCCCTTTGTGATATTTTTATGAAAACACTGGACCCTGCAATTGTTGCAGACATGCAATCATTTGAAATATATGGTCATTGGACCTGATATAAAAAATAGTGATTAATATAATCGAAAGAAACATTTATTTATTGGTCTATCATGGATGTTCAAACAATGAAACATTCATTCCACTTTTTTAAGTTATGGAAAGTTGTCTATTGAGTTGGACGAACCCTTATCCTTGAAAAGAACTTGCTAGGTTTTGGCTGCAGTTCATTTCTTAATAGAAAACTGTTAAGATATGGGAATGCAATGGAAATTTACCCATTAAACTGTGAAATATTCCTATGATTAAGAAGTAAAAACCTGTCATGAAATGAACAGATCTGTCTTCAGAAAAACTGTTTTTTTATATTCCTCCTTTCGCCATTCGTATTTAGCAAAGTAAATACAGACAGAATTATAGAATCCAAAGACAATGTAAGATTATTTGCAAATTAGTTTCACTTTTATATTCAATGAACTAATGTTATGTAGGTCTTAAATAATTAGTTTTTCAACCAGATTTTTTTTTCTTTATATTTAATTTACTGTTGTGTTAAAAGATCGGAACAGTGTTAAAGTTATAAGACACAAGTAATAAATTTATTTTAAACAAAAGTATGAATTAATTTAAAAGGAAATTATACCATATTGAACTTTTAGGCCGTGGTAAATGTTTCACCTGTTTTAAATTGAAAATAAAAATTATAGACATCTTTTTTTTCTTATTTACATCAGTATCTATTATCATTTCATACGGATATTATTATGTTGACCGACCAACCTAACCGATTTTTTTAAGGTGATTCGAGGCTTCTTTGAAAATGAACTTCCTATCAAATGATGTTATCTAAGTCGAGTGTGAATCTGTTAGTGAAAATGATTAGAAGGTATGACATAGTATACTTCATTATCGTAAATTTATATTATTTTTAGTGTTGTTTTTCTTTTTATATCTAATGGGGCCTACTAACAAAACAAAAAGAAAAGGTTTTTCATTATTTCAACATATTTTTGGGGACTACAAGATACCGTAACTTTAGGGTGCAGTATCATTTTTAAAGATTAATTCATAATCATCAGTATTAATGAAAATTTTGTTTCCTCGTTTTAGTCTCTTTACAATCAGTTCTTTTCATTGGAAAAGTTAGTTTCTAAACCAAAATAATACAGCAGTTCGAGGATAGAATGGCCGAGCATATTGGGGCGTGGGTCCCAGAGTGCCCAGTTCTGGACATTGTGGGTTCGATTCCCTCCTGAGTTGGTAAATCTTTATTTCTCGGAGGCCCCGGGAAATGGATCTCGACATTCCCACTTTGGTAAGTATGCGGCAGTAACCTCCAGGTAGCCGTAAGGAGTTGGCATAAAGGACCACGATAGGACCCACTTGCCGGACTAGTTCCCCCACCAATAGTAGTAGTACCGATACCAATGTAGTAGTTTAAATTGTTTTTCTGGATCTCAGGAGTGATAGATTTTGACAAATGAGGTGTCGAAACAAAGGGAATTTCATGAAAAAGTAATGAATCCTTTTCAATTCTTAAACTTGTATTTTGCCTTTAATAGAACATTAAAAAAATTGTTTTCAAAAACTCCTACAGTTCTTTTTTGAGGTTGTGACAATAAAATTCTGCAGTTCCAAGTTGACCTATCGAGAAGGAATGAATTGTGTTTTAAAGATTTTGACACAGACATTAAGACCGGTAAAATCCTTCAGAGCATACTGGGCTCTGCATTTTAAAGTCCTAAAATCTGTTTTTTAAAATAACCTGTAATTCTTGCCGAAAGCCCACTAGTTTTCACAGTTCCATGAGATACTTATCAAATCTTTAGTTATAAAAAATTAATAAAATATCACTATTTAATGTAGTCTGCTTTAGTTATCACCAGCATATAAGTAGGAAACAGGAGTGATGAATGGAGTCAGATCAGAAAGATGAATATGAAGTATTTGTGTATTATATTATATAATATATATATAATCGTTTATATAGTGATAGAAGTGTTACTTCAATATAGTCATTTCACTAGTCCATAATTCAAACAATTGCGTGAATTAGATGTGATCAATTTCTTCTTTATATATTATTTTAAATTATTGTTATGTAAATTTATGTATAATATCAATTAAATAAAATCTTCATAAAACAAAAACAGAATCATCAAATTCGGATCATTTTTAGCAAAATGACAGGCTATTGTAATTCTTAAACATATTGGTTTAAAATATGAATGAAGTTTTAAAATAATTTTATTTTTGCTTTGTCGATTACAATAAGTTGAGAAAATAAGAGTTAATTCCTTCATCTCATGATACGTTTCATTATTTAAGTCCCTTACTATTTTGTCATTTGTTGACTGAATTATTCGCATGGGCCAACTTGTAACAATATATTGTTTATTCGTATAAACATGATTCGCTGATATCTCTTATATTGTAGTGTATTAGGATGAAGGAGGGTTGATATCTCATGCAAGAGTTCTCACCCAAGTAAATTAGTTTAATAGAATGTAATAATTCTTAGAATCTAAATTATTGTGAAAGGAAACAAAGCATAAAAAGTTTCTTTTAATATCAGATAGAATGTTATTGCCAATTGAGAACTATGTTTAGAAGAATTGTAGGTGACAAAATAAGGTTCCTTTAACTTTATGATGAGAAATATGAAAGATTGAGTATTTTGTAAGGAAATACTGTCTCGTGGTCAAGAGTTGTGCAAGGAGGTGATTTCATCACGAACATATTTGACCATATGTGGTATTTTGTGAACTAAAGATATGTAAATAGTGTGTTCAATCCTATGTCACACCCTCCAATAAGCCTGGGTTGTCTCTCTAATCGTTGGTCAGTGATTCCAATGGACTTATTAGTTGCAAAATTGCTCAGCTTATATTGCTCCTGTCCCAAAATTATAAATTAAGATTTGCAAAATCATTAATTATTTCTATGGTTCATTATGGAAATGTGAGAACTTTCATTCAGGGATGAGCAATATTTTATAGTTTAAAAGAAAAAAAAAAAGGGAGTAGCATATAAAAAAAGGGTACACTGAAGCGAAGGTGAGAGGATTTTATTAAAGCTGATCTGGCAGTGCTAGGTTTGGACAGCGAGTTGTGGATTATTAGTATCATGATCAATTCATCAGGTTTCTTAAACCTTTTATTATTATTTTTACTGTGCTCATGGCTCCAATACTCTCACAGAATCAGTTCAAAGAGACAATTTGGTATGTTTACTTGAAATATTGTACCATCCATGTGTGAGATATTTTATTAAATAGCAAATATCAGTTAACACCTTGGCTGTGGACAAGATACCTGCCTTCCTGTTAGGAGTTTGGTCAGCCCTGCAGACGGGATACATGCCCTCCCGCCTCGGCTATCGCCACTTGTAGTGGTAGCGGAGAAATCCCTGCTTCCACCGTTCGCCTTGTGGCTTAGTCCGTGCATTCATTAGTAGTTATACCTCACTCAGGTTGGTGGTTCTGGTTTCTGACCATTTGTTGGAAGCTATCAGTTACAGATTTATTCTGAAACTGGTTAACAAACTAGTAAATATTTTTTTCGTCAGAAAAACTTTATTTACTATTGAGAATGAAAACTTAAAAACTATTAGTTTTTTAATTCAATTATATATTAATAGTTCTCATTTTAATAAATTTAGAAGATGCCACAGTTAGGCATCAAAAATAACACCAAAAATAGTAGAAACTATTTATTGAATACTGAAGTTGCAAAGCAATTGAAGGCTTTCATCAGAGCTACAAAGATATTTTGGGCTTTGTAATAGAATTTTCCAAAAACATTGTTATATGGATTATTTAGTTAAAAGAAGCTCGTACATAACATAAACTAACATTTTTCATCATTCATTTTTATTTGATGTTCTTAGATATATTTATAAGTTATTACTCTTTCAATATGGTCAAGCAAGACCATTATATCCACCAATTCGTGATTTTTTAAACTTTTTTTTGTTATAAATGTTCCCCTTAAGAATCTTATTGGTTAGTTTTAATTATATTTGACACCCATCTCTCTATTCAGTGGTATATGTCATTGCCTATGTATGAACCATGAAGACTTAAGTTTTATTTCCATAACATCTGAGAATATTTCACAAAATATCCTCGAATAGATTTGAATGGAGAGTAGCTACTTAAATAAATCAGTAGTAGTGCGATACATAAATATAGAATTATTATTGCGAAATATTTGTTATAGTTAATCGCTATAAACCTCTACAATAAATTATACTCTATATATTTCAAAAATATTTTTTTAATTAATAATTTAAACAAAAATTTTGTCCTTAATCTCATTTTAATTGTACTAATACTAAAATTTATGTTTTCTTGTAATATTAAACATTTCTAAATTTTGTTTCAGTATCTCATGAAGAGTTGTAAAAATTTGAAAGGTGGTCTTCAAGAGGTTGCTGACCAGCTGGAGCTTACGAGGGTAGGACCACAACATCAAGCTGGCTCGGATTCGTTATTGACAGGAATGGCCTTTTTCAAAATGAGAGAGGTAATGATGTCTAGACTTAATGTTTTGTCTGAATTTATTTATCTTTTTACTTTCACTTACCTATATATGAAATATATAGTGCAAGGGACAGTATTACGATCGTGAAAATTTTCAAATCTGAGTTTTCAACAGTAGAGGTGTCCTGAGTCCAAATAACCTAGTCCCGCAAAATGGTGTGTGTGTGCGTGTGTCTGTATGCATGTGACAGATCTAGATCAAAAACGAAAAGTCGTATGAAAGTGAAATTGCATATTTAAGTTTTGCATATACCTGAGATGTTACAGCAACTTTTTCATCAAAATCAGCTTACCAGAAGCGACACTTAATATTATCGATGAAACACATTTTTACTATTTTCTCGAAAACGGCTCCAACGATTTTGATTAAATTAATTATATTAGCATAAATTAAGCAGTTTTTAATATTATATAGGTTTTATTCTCATTGATGTTCTCTTTCAAAATGTTAATTTTCAAAATTTCTTTCTCTAAAGAACCTTAAATTTTTGTTATTTGAAATAATTAATCATTTCACATAGGAAACTGATATAAAAAATGGTTAAATATAATTAATGAAGAAAATTGATTGGTAACTAAAGGAGAAATAAGGAAGCTGTATGGAAACAGCCGTTAGCGTTCAACCTTTGCCGATCCTCTCCATTTACAGATAACCGGTAACCCTCTGTACATGGGATTAATTGTTATACTGATGGGTCACTCATGTCATGCGGATCTGGTGCTGGTTTTTGGGGAAGGGATGAACCAAAGGCTGGCATGTCAATACCACTTGGAAATTATGCAACACTGTTTTAATCTGAAATACTGACGATAACTCACTGTGCCTCAAAAATGTTGCTGGGCGGGTTAGTTGAGAGGAGAATCGCAATATATACTGACAGTCAAGCGGCCATACGAGCATTAGACTACTATACAACTAGACCTAAGGCGGTTGGGGATTATGTTAGAATTCTCAATGATTTATCCAGACTTAATAAGGTATACATTGAATGGGTTCCGGGTTACTCTGGAATTCATGGCAATGAGATGGCCGATGAACTAGCTAGACTAGGCTCACAAATGACACCCATAGCTCCGGACCCAGTGTCTGACAATAAACAGAATCGGGGAGATATATGGTGCTGAAAACAAAAAGAACTAAAACTTGAAAAAACAGACCCACTCTAGACTGTTTCTGGAAGGAATTTGTCAAAAAAGAAGTAACTTACTAATTAATCTGAGCAGGAGCTCGCTTAAGAAAATTACAGCAGCATACACAGGGCATTGAAAACTTAATTATTACATGTTCAAACTCTGGCTCACAGAGTCGTCTCTTTGTAGGCACTGTGGAGGATTACTTGCTGGTGCGATGAGTTTGCTGGTTTAAGATTTCGTTTATTCGGCATTGATAGGGAGAATGATCCCAAGGCAAACGAGTTTATCAATCTAACAAGCTTATTACAGTTCATTGAGACTGCAGGAATTACACCGTAAACAGAAGTGCCGCTACAAAAAAAAAAAAAACCCTCTGTACAGGACTTTCATATTGTTAATTTAATTTTTATGTATCGCTTATCCATAACTTTTTAAAAAGGTTTTCACGTGAAATGTTGAAGATCTACTAATGTAAACCTAATAATATACAATAGTTTCCAATAAAACTCAGAATTTTCCAAAAGATCCATTTTTTCCCACAATCATTATTATTGTTTGATATTATCGACAGTCGCAAAAAGAAATAGTAAGTGATGCAAACGTATAAATTTAAGAGATTCGATGAGCATAAAAAACAGTAATTAACTGGTTTAAATGAAGTTATACTGTTGTTTTCACTTTCATTTCTCTATATATGAAAATACCTATCTATTCTAAGGTTGATAAGTGAAAGTTTTGAGTGATGCGTGTGTGCACTGCACCAGATTGTTGATCTTACATCTCCAAAAAAAAAACTTATAATTTTGATAAAACATGCTTAGTAATTTTCCAGAAGACCTTGCATTTTTTACTTTCACTTACCTGTATATGTAGTATATATTAAGGGAAAGTATTGCGAGTTTTCAATGGAAATACATGTCCTTGTTTTGAGTCCAAATAACAAAGTCTCGCAAAATGTTCTGTGTGTATGTGAACAGTCAAGCTCAAAAACAAAAAGGATATTACGTATTTAAGATAGGTATATAAGTTTGGATATCACAGCAACTTGTTCCTTAAAAATCGACTAACCGGATGTGCCACTTTATATCAACGGTGAAACACATTTTTACAATTTTCTCAAAAACGGCTCTAACAATTTTGATTGAACTCGCTATAAATTTTAAATTATAAATAAATAATTACTAAAATAAATAAATACTAAAATATAGTAAACTTTACAATAGTTTAATAACTATTAGTCCTAAAATCCATAATCATTTAGAGGTTAAATATTCAGATATATTTTCAATTCTCTCTAGGCATATATGAGCCTTTCGGTTGATAGAATTGACTAACTCCAATTTCAACATTCTTTATTTTTAATTTTAGTATTGTTTCTAGTGGCAAAATTTATATCTTTATTTATAGTTATATATTTCAACACTGCAATCTACCTACTCTGGAATCAACTTACTCACTGTCTGTATAAATATAACTTTTCCAACTAGAATTATCACTAAAATGACATTACTCAAAAATGTTGAAATTGGAGTTAGTCATTCTGTCAATTGAAAGGCTCAGAGACTGAAGTTATGTGGTTTATAAAAGCAGATGGAGTAACTAGATTTTTATTGCCTACCGTCGATATAATAAATAGATCTTTTGTAATTTTAGTGGTCTTAATGATTGGTTTTCTGTAAGCTTTAAGCTTTAGCTCCATTTAAAATACACTTATAAAATTTTATAATAACCCAACATTGCCAGAAAATAATTTTTAGTGAAAATAGAGCGGTAAGTGAAACTTGTGTATTGTATTATGCACGTGATACATTTGGAAGCCTATCCTAACCTTTAGGCTAAGATTGAGCATGCGCTCAGTTGTTTTCGGTCACACTTTACCAACCTTATTTCTATTAATTTTAGTTCTTTAAGTGATAATACTTAAATTAAGTTCAAAAGTATTAAACGAAACGTTATTTTATTTTTTTATATTTTTTACGAAACGTTATTGTATTTTTTTTATATTTTATATAACAACTTTCTGTTTCAGATGTTTTTCGAAGATAATATAGACGATGGCAAATACTGCGGTCACTTATACGGATTGGGTGCATCCTTTGTTGTGAACGGTAACAGTTTCCACGACAACGGAGACAACTCAAGTAATTCATGAGGTTCGGGGACTAGCAGCCCGCGTGATTCAGCGCATGCTTGCCCTCAAACCTCTCTGTATATATAGTGTCTTTTGACAGTTTTCCAACACAAACTGTAATATAGTGTGTAATAATCTCCTGCGCATATTTTTTTAAGTATATATGTTCATTACTGATATATTGTTTTCTATTACTTTTTTTTTAATTATTATTATTATTATTACTTTTTTTTAATTATTATTATTCCGTTTTAATTTCTAAAGTTATTTATTTATAATATCTTGTAAAACATCTCATTTGCACTCTCATAAAATTTTCTTGAACAAATCTCGATTAGAGTGTCCTGATACCATTGCATTATAATTTTTTTTTTAAATTATAATTTTTGATTCTTCGATGATTGAACTTTAATATGGCCACGCTACTTGTACTGCCTTTTCAGCTTTGAATTCTACTCAATAACGGTTAACGACCCTGAGGTTTTCATTAAACTGTGATCTGTTGATACATTTTTATTGTGTAAATAACAACTTGTTAGTATTGAAAAAAAAAATGAAAAGAAAGAAAAACAAAAAAAATCTTGTGATATAGTTTTTATATTATGTATATTATGAAAACATTTTAATCCGTGAAATAGAAATAATTGTTAAATATTTATTGCTTATAATTATATATTACAAATATTTAAAAGTTTTTTTTGTTTTTTTTTTAAATAATCTTAATTAATATCCGATTTATTAAAGTTGTTTACTATTTATTAACTTCCCAAAGTATCACTTTATATATTATTGTAAACTGGCATTATAGTGTATATCTATCATCGTTATTGTTATCTCATTATTTTTTAAGAAACTGTAAAATAACTTGTAAATAATATAAAACTGTGTTTTTAAACTGAAATGTATAATGTCAGTATATCTTTGGGAATGATTGAAAATATTTTTTTTTCAGGAAATCCGGGTTTGTCCAACCCAGATTGGGTAGAAATCTTTGTTCCATTATTATTTAAAAAATATACTACAATATACAAATTTGACTTTTTATATATGACCACCATTGTAAGTACTCTTTTTTCTTAAATTAGACTAGACTTAAATTTTATCAATTCTATATATATGCTAAGCAAATTTCATTGCACACTTTATGAAACAAGCGTATCCTGATTCTAACTATCGTAATTATAAGAGCCAGTTTAAGGCCCTTAGTCTTGTAAACTGTTATTGTTTCTCTCGATTTCACTTTCCTTTTCTTTTTATTATTACTTTATTTTTCTTCATTTTTTTTTTCGTTTTTTATATAGAAAAATAGTTTGTAAGGAAACCAGAATTTGTATTTTGAAATTTTTGAAAAATAAATGATAAAATTAAATGTAGAAAGTCAATTGTAAAGTGTCATTAATTATTGTTCAAAATAAACTAATTTCTCATTTATTTGGTTTATTTATGTACTATTAATATTCTAGATCATAGACTGAATTATATTTTCCCCTTTCTTCCCTTTCTGCCTATTGGTGCATCAATCAAAGGTGAGTCCGATGTGTAGGGATGGTATGGAACTTGTGGAGCCATTCCAAGGAACTCTATACACACCTTGCCATTTGAAACAACTTAAATATCGACAACATGATGGCTCCGGGTGGAATTGCTTAGGTGACCTTGGTTTATTAGTTCCACCGGAGCCGTTGCTGTATTAGTTCTTAGTTCCAGGCCAGTTCCACTGTTAACAACATTATAGTTCCATTCTAAATTGTTTAGATTTGACCTTGGCTTATTGGCTTCATATTAGTTTGTTAGCTTCAAAGGTGAGTCTCATAGTTCCTATCTTGCTACTATTTATTAGACGTTCAACAAGACAGTTGGACACAAATAACAGATTATATTAATTAAATATGAATTTTATGACAAAAAGTAACTATTAACATTCTTGTTATCAGTTTTATTATTTAAAAGAAAAATTTTCAGTTTCTAATTTTAGGGTCTTTCAAAATATCCATACCATAGCTTACTAAGGAGGCTAGACAAAATTAGTCTTAAGCACACTGTATAAAGAAATTATCAATGATTTAACAAATTTAACTAGGAACTATTGGGAACAGAAACAGTTCCACAGAAATCAACTCTACCAACTATTATTTTTTTCATTGCTTTAATTTTTCAATTGATTTTAAATAATTTCTTCTCTGAAAAAAAAAACATGATAGGCTGTCAATATAATTAATCCTCCAGTACCAGATCACTCAAAATGAGAAATAATTGTATTTTATTACTTTTATAGCAAACCATATTTCATTTTATTGAGTACAGACACACAGATATAGTGCAATAAATCTGTTTAACTTAATATTGCTTTCTAAATTTATGTTGAAAAACAAAAGGAGCATGACAAAAAAAAAAAAAAAAATGACAAAAAGTGTCTCCATTTTTCATACTTAATGCTATAATATATCTTTATATGTAAAAATGTATTTTACGAACAGCATGTTTTAAGAGAGAAACACTTTATTCTCATAAAATTGTGTTGCCCAATTACATTGGGTTGCTAAATACACAGCATATTAATAAATTGCTATGGACAATCAACTATATGTAAATATATAGTACTATTTGAATATATATGAGTATAATAAATAAAATGTTGCAGTACATACATGTCTCCCTATGAGAAACCTTTCTTAAATTTAAATTTAAAGGCCATGATGTCGACATATTTCCTGAATCCATCCATATGATGCAGTAGACTTTCCCAAAACGCAAAAAATCTCTTTTTCCTCATTAATTCGTGTTTTATCTGGTGGTGAAGGCGTGTCAAAGGAAGGAGAAGTTGAAGCATTTCTCCAACACATATGCTGGTGTTTCAGACCCTCTGCCGCTTTTCCGATAGAGGAACACAACTTCTCTTACCTGTCCGCTGATACCTGGGACTGTACACAGGGGTACATAATTAATTTTTAGTTTCAGAGCATTCGACCATTCAGGCCCAGAAAGTACATTATTTATTCAGTTTAAGGTTCTCTTTAAAATGGTGAACACCAATGTCCTGTCAACTGCAGTTGGCTCATTCCTCAAACAAATTTTCTCGTAGTGACTGCCGTTATACCCCATACTCTCGTATATTCCGATCTTCCTGATCAACTCTCAATCTCTCGACACATTGAGAAACTTCAGCCGACTAATCGAAGGTTGATTGGAAATGGGCATCTGGTACATTGGTCAGTCACTGAGCAAAGGATCAATCTTGAAGAGGAGCCTCCCATTAGCAGTGGATTTATCCCAATTCTTGGTACCTTCTGGGAGTGTTTAACATCGCTGTGGAAATATTTGCATAGACTCCAATAAAGGCCTTTGCACTCCTGCGAATCATGATGTCAATTATGTCAGGACGCAGCTCTGTGAGCACTGTTTGGAAAAGGTAAGTAAGGCCCTGGAATAGATACTGATCGACTATTTTGCTCCGGTTTAAGTAAGTAAGAGGTTACTAACTTATTAAGATTTTCATTTAATTTGGTCCCGAATATTCATTGAACTGTAGTTCTTCAGAGAATGTACATCTCTGGTTAAGTATAAATACTTAATAATTTCTCCATTCTTCAATATTAGGATGTACTCTCTATTCTCAAGGGAGAGTATCCTTGTTTCCAGCTCTTCTTTATTCAAAATTATGCCCATCCTTATCTGAGGATTTATAGCCAAACCAATTTCCAGTTTTAGCAGTTCGTAATACACATCTTCCTGATTCCACCATATGCATAAACTTAATTACTATGAATATTCTGCTTTGGCATCAATTTGGATGGCTCTTCTGAATCAACCCATGACTTTTGCCCTTGGCATTGCAGATATATTCTTCATCCTCAGTCACAATAGGCAACATTGTTTACGCCGCTCAGTGTTCAGGAATTAAAGGAGCCATGTCTAGCCTGAAAGTCTTAACTAACTCCCCTCTATCCACAACTAGATGTGATGCCCCCATATGGTGACATTCTCGAAAAGAACTAGACTTAGTTCTCTAGCTTCCGCCCCTCAGTAGCAATTAACCAGAGAACTGGAATTGCGCTACTGTTGTACATCTAACACATGATGTAACTGGCGTACTGCAGAGTGGCCCTGACCTCTAGCCCACATAGCCTATGCCTTTCCTAATCTAATTTTTTTTTGGTCCTCCAGACCGTTCTTTTTCCTATAGCTGTTGAATCCTATGAAACTGGTGCTTCATGATCGAGATTCACATCCAGCTTTCGAACGTTACTTCTATCAACAATTCATACCTATATTTTTTGGTGCGATGCTGGATTCTTTAAACTGTAATCATTTAATTTTGAGCCATTTTACAGTAAATCAGTCAGTATCTGTTTTTCCACATAAACATTTTTTTTCCAATTCAGCCTTGGACAATATGTCAGAAACCTTAACCTTATAGGGTTTTGTCTTTTTTATACGTTTGACGTTTCTATAAGCACACTATTCTCTGATAGTATACACTTTCTTGTGTTAAAGGAGCTTTCTCTTCTTCCTTTTAAACAGATTTTTCTCTGTCCGACAGGGATCGGAAACCTCTTCCATATATTCAGCAAGGGCCAGAGTACCGCAGGGATCGATTCTTGCACCTTTACTGCTCATTATAGACACAAATGATATACCAACTTACCCTAACACATTAATTGCAACCTATGCAGATGACACTGCTATTCTCACCAGACATGTTGACATCACACAAGCATCCTTGACCCTACAATATTATTTACAAATATTACAGGAATTGTTTAAAAAATGGAAAATTAAACTCAACAGTGATAAATCTCAGCACATCACCTTCACGCTCCGACATGACACCTGTACACCAGTTTATATAAACAATGTCCCAATACAAACGACTAACACAGTTCATTACTTAGGACTCATGTTCCAAAGAAGGATGACCTGGGAGCCACACATTTAAAAAAAAAGCCTTACCTTAAATAATCGACTAAGGCTTTTCTATTCTCACTTACACAAACGATCTAATTTTAAAATGAGACAAAAGATGGGACAGCAAAAAAGACCCAAATCAAAAAATACAGACTTTCCAATCAAAATCTTCAAGACTCATCACGCGCTCACCCTGTTACGTCAGTAACAAAACATTGCATTCAGACTTAAACATACTGATTGTCACTGGGAGGGAGGGAGGGGCTTTCCGGCTGAAGCTCCCCCCAAAAATGTTAAAATATAACCATGTTTTATGGAGAAAAAAAAAATTAAAAATACCTCTTTAAGTATTATTGTTCGTGTAATTATATTTAAAAGGACTTAAGGAATCACTTAAACACCATTTCATATTGGTAGTTAGTTTCTTTCTGTTTTTCCAAAGTGATTATCGTTATTTTTATGAAAAAAAAAGGTTTCGGGCTGAGGCCCTAGTCAAAAATTAAATTCTGGATCCGCTAGTGCCGATGGTACAAGATCACTTACGGACATCATATAAAAAATTACATGCCCAACTTCACGAACATACCAACATACTTATACAAAACATGGGCACGAGACATATGCCAGAAAACACCTTTTATTTCAAGTTAAGAGTAGGCACAGGCGGATCTACGGTGGGGGGTTTTCGGGCTGAAGCCCCCAAAATGTTAAAATGTAACCATGTTTTATGGTAAAAAATATTTTTAAAATTGTCTTAAAGTATTATTGCTCGTTTAATTACATTTAATAGGACTTCATATATAATTGTCGTTATACATAAGAAGAAAAAAAGGTTCCGGGCTTAAATTAAAGCCCCTCCCTAAAATTAAATTCTGGATCCGCTAGTGGAAGTTGGTGCCCACCTCCCTCATGTCTGACATGCCAATCCTATCAATAAAGATAACATCCGCTTATTGTTACTGGCTGTGACAGGTGTGGATTAAATAATAAATGTTTAAAAACTTCATTTTTCCCTCATTTTTGACTACTGTGGGCTTAAAACCCAAATTAAACCTTTGTCAGTTACTCGTTACTTGTGGAAACATTTCATCTACTTATATGGCTTTTCTTTTGGACCTGTTCAGTCGCGAACGATTCAGTTTCTATTGTAAACATTTCTGGAAGGTTTTAAATAGTATTTTGACAACCGTAATAGGACGTTATTTGTTTGCGTTTCATGTTTTTATTTGTTAAAATTACAGGTATTACTTATATAAATTTATTTTTTCTTATTAATATATTAATGTTGTACAACTATTGTACTGCTTTTAGTTTAACCTTACCTTGTTTTCTTTATCAACAGAAATTGCTTCTAAAAATGATTTAATCAAACTTAACAGAAACTTACTATCTAAAAACAAAATTGAGTTATACTAGTGTACTACTAAAATTTTCTTGTTTAAATAATTTTTATTGTCACAGTTTACTAATTTAGGAATTTATTCATGACCTCTTGGTTAGATTTTCTTTCCTAAATCCACTCTGGTATGGTTTGAATTCACACTTTGCTTATGGTAGGAGGTATCCTAATAGATTAAGAGATGGTATCTTATACGTACAGAACGTTTATATCAGTTCACGTTGAAATTAGTTCAAAGTTAGCCATATAAAGAAAGTTAATGCCTTGTCAGTATTAAAGATAAATTGTTTTATAGTGTGAGTGAATTGATTGTATCTTTATTATAAAGTGATTACGTTTAATGGGATATGTGCAAATTTCTGGACCTCAGGTGAGGTTTTTGTAATTTAAAATAATGATTTAAATTGTAAATCTCTTTATTATATAAAAACGATTTTAGTGACTTCTATTTTATTTTACACATACCAAGCGGGACCCTAACGAAGAAACACACTTTTTATTCTCAGAATTATTTCTTCCTTTAATGGTTACAAATTGACAAGGCGAAATATGCGAATTTCAAAGAAATTACAAATTTGTCCGGGCTGTTGTTTCTTTCCATTTATTTTATGTTGATGAAAAATAATACAATCTAAACTACAGAATAAATGTAAGTTGCGGTTATACAATTTGAGCAACTAGTAGTATAATTAGATGAAGAGTTGTATAATTTCTAAAATGGGGGTTGGTCTGGCTTTGGCAGGGAGGGGGTACCCACTAGTTTTTAATAAAAATAAAATACATTTTTTTTTTTTTTGTTAAACAAAACTATCTGAAAAAGGTAAGAATATATTATATTAGTTATAAAGAGAGTTCATTACTAATCTCTATTTATTTTTTACAGCTATCATCAATGTCTTTAGAAGAAGATATCATAGAAATCTCGAATGATACAGAAGTGGTAGAAAGTAATACAGTGTTAGAAGATCATAATTATAACCTGGTGGCATCTTCTACTTCAAAGCCTTTATTGTCTACACAAAAATCCCATTGTTATCCTGACCCTGATAAGACTAAACATCATTTGGATAAAGTATACAGCCAATTAGCAAATGCTCAATGTAAATCTTGTGCTGTAAGTCCCCTTCAACCCAAAGAAAAAGATGAATGCGATATTTACAGTAAACTCTTGGCGATAAAGCTGCGAAGACTTCCTAGAGATGAAAGGATGATATATATGAACAGAATAGATGGGTTATTTGTTGAGAGAATTTATAGGAGGTTTGCTAAACCTGAAACACCCTATCCTCGACCTTCATTTCCTAAACTGCTTAGTTTTAATAAAAATTCACCCCCAATTGCTCAAACTTCTTCTTCTGAGCCTATTATAAAAATAATAATCCCAGAAATACCTTCTGTTAATGAAACATCATATTCTGAGCCCATTGAAAATAGTTCAAGTCCTAATGAACCCTCTATGAACATGGAAGACGCTGAAAACAATAAAATTGAGCAGAAAGAAAAGAAACAGAGACGGCAAAGAAGATATTGGATGGCAAATGTTCACAGAAATCGTACCAGGTTACCATTAAGCTTAACTTTGGTTTTAGTTCCACCTTCCTCATCTTCTACCAATCTCCTTTCATTACTACACTGTCCACCTCCTTTTTTACCTTCAACACTAGTAACATCTGTCCATCTACTATTTTTCTAAACTCCTCTCTTTATTGGTTGTCCTTTTCTCAGTTTCTTAGTCTCTCTATTTCGTCTTTAATTCGATCAGGATATTCTTTGATGTTCCTAAGTTTTATCACTGTATCAAAGGTCCATTTGCTTAATCTATTCTTTCCCATCGGTTTCATTTGACTGTAACACTTCAACTTTCTTTTCCTTATTGATATCTAGATCTTCAATGTCTTCATTTACTCCTTGTTCTTTTTTGGGCTATGCTAAATAAAAAATATACCTATAAAGATAATAGAAAATATTATAAAGAAATTAAAATGAAATAGTATTTAAATTTGTTGTCAATTAAATTTTTGGTTCATGTTCTGTAAGTTGATAATGTATACATTAGTGTTGTCAAGTGATATTTGAAATTATATATATGTATTGGTAGCCTTCTAGTTAATTGTTTCCAATATTTTTCTCATCCTTATGTAATTTTTATATATCACAGACCTTGACACATTACAGATCTTGTAGATCTTTTGCCACCTTATCAAGCTTACTCCATCTTCGCCTATCTTGAGCTCTTTCTTTCCAGTTATCTGCATGGGTACTTATTTAATAGCGGGTAGCGTCCGACTGCTATCTGCCAATGTTTATAACCTTAACACTGATGAGCTTTTATTCATATTTTTTGTACTGTATTCATATTATTATATCTTCGTATTCATATTTATTGTTTTGTATTGATATTGTTGAAATTGTGAACAAAAACAAAAACAAATGTAATAATAAAAAAATACTTTTATTTTACAACATATATATTAAAATAGACCTAAACATTATAAATATATAATTAAAAAACATTACGAAAACATTGTAACATATACATCAAAATAGATGAAATAATTAAAATAGGCAAAAAATAGATGATATAATAAAAAACCACTTAAACAGCATATGTACATATAAAAGAAATACTAT